CTGCGCAGCCCCGCTACTGTCGAGAAAGTGCCATGCCTGCTGTGCCTGGGCGGGAGGCGCGCATAGCGGCCGCGGTGAAACACAACCCCCTGCGCACCCCTTTATGGTGTCGAGAGAGTGCCACGCCTGCTGCGCGTTGACGAGAGGCGCGCGTAGCGGCCGCGGTGAGAGACCACCCCCTGAGCACCCCCTCGGGTGTCCAGGAAATACTGCACCCGCCATGCCCTGGACGAGAGGCGCGCATAGCGGCCGCGGTGAGAGACCACCTCCTGCGCACCCACTCTGGTGTCGAGAAAATGCCACGCCTGCTAAGCACTGGGCGAAGAGGCGCGCATAGCGGCCGCGGTGAGGGACCACCCCATGCGCACCCCCTACGGTGTCGAAAAAGTGCCGCGCCTGCTGTGCCTGGACGAGAGGCGCGCGTAGCGACCGCGGTGAGAGACCACCCCCTGCGCACCCCATGTGGGGTCGAGAATGTGCCACGCCTGCTATGCCTTGACGAGAGGCTTGACGAGAGGCGCGCATAGCGGCCGCGGTGAACGACCACCCCCTGCGCACCCCCTCTGGTGTCTAGGAAATGCCACGCCTGCCATGCCCTGGACGAGAGGCGCGCATAGCGGCCTCTGTGAGAGACCACCTCCTGCGCACCCCCTACTGGGGTCGAGAAAGTGCCACGCCTGCTATGCCCTGGACGAGAGGCGCGCATAGCGGCCGCGGTGAGAGACCACCCCCTGCGCACCCCCTCCGGTGTCGAGAGAGTGCCGCGCCTCCTATTGTCGCCCATACGTTGCGTGGTGAGCGTGTCGTAGATATGATGCGTGCGCGGCTGTATGTTGAGAAAGTTCCACGCATGCCGTGCCCTGCGCCACGGTCCGCATGGAGACTCCTACCTTGCACTGCGAATCCTACACGCACGTCTTGTGTATGGCGTGTCATGTGTATGTGTATGATGCGTGTGCGGCCGTATCGGGATGTGTGTCTCATGTGTGTGTGCCCAGCATGTAGCGCATATGTCGTGGGTGTATGATGCAGTGCGCACGCCAGGCGTGCACTAGCGTTGTATGGTATGTGTTGTGTGTGCGAGTGTGTGCATGCGTGCGGCTGGCTGTAGTCTCATGTGGGAGCCCAGTATGTTGAGGATATGTCTTGGGTGTATGATGCAGTGAACACGCCATGCGTGCACTAGCGTTGTATGGTGTGTGCGAGTGTGTGCATGCGTGCGTCTGTATGTAGACGCGTGTCTCATGTGCGTGCCGTATCCTGCACGTGTGTCTCACGTGGGTGCCCAGGCGAGTGTCTGGGGGGCGGGAGCAAGAGGAGCAGAGGGAGGAGCTGAAGGTGAACGCGGGTGCGGCGCGGCAGGGAAGAAAACCATAACCCCTCGAAACATTTGGAGAAATACTCCAAAAATGCGAAACCAGTAGTCCCCAGACTATTTTTTGACTATTTTTGAATGTTCCTCCTGTAGAGGGACGGGCCCGACTCAACTCTAGCCCGACCTCCCGACTTAAAAGCTTGCGCGCGACTGTCGGCGCGCTCGGCCCCATTGTTCTCCCGTCGCCCAGCTGCGCTCCTCCCCGTCGCTCGGACGTCCATTCCCTGTGTTTTTTTCGGCTTCGTGCGTGGCTTTTTCGCAGGATGATCCAGGATGCTCCTTCATTTTCCCCGCCGAGGAAAAGTGCACACGTCCGAGCGATACCAAGCACCAGGCACGTCACTCGTACGCCGCACGCGGGGTTCCTTTTTCGCCCCCCTTTGGGTCACCCCCCCATTTACCGCCCGCCCGACTCAGGATGACGAGCCAGTCCCGGGGAATGGGTCGAGACCTCCCTGGGTCCACTTTGCGAGAAGAGTACTGCGTCGGGGGTCTGGGCAACTCTCCAGGCCTCGGACGATCGGACGAGTATTGCCACCATCGCCGAGGTCGGGATCTCCTTCCCTCGGTGGAGGCACACCGCCGACCTTGGCGTTGGTGTCACCCTCTGGGCCTTCGACGTCGCCCAGCTGCGCTCTAAAAAAGAGCGTCGGCACCGGTGCGTTTGCCCCCCTCCCGCGTCCAGGCTTCGGGCCGCCCACGCGGGGAGCGGCGCCTCCGCCGCGGCCGCGGCCTCGCACGCCCCCGCGTCCCGCACAGCCTGCGGCAGCGACGACGACGACCACGAGAGCAACGACGACGACGAGGACGACGACGACGACGACGAGGACGACGAGGACGACGACGACAGACACTCTGGCCGTCGTCGTCCTCCTCCTCGTCCTCGTCGTCCTTGTCCTCGTCGTCCTCGTTGTCTTTTTTTTCCTCGTCGTCGTCGTCGTCGTCCTCGTCGTCGACGTTGTCCTCGTCCTCGTCCTCCTCGTCGTCCTCCTCGTCGCCGCGGCCGCGGCCGCGGCTGGCAGCCTCGCCGGGCGCGCGCGCGCCCTCCTCGCGCGCCGCGGCGCCCGAGAGCCGCCGGCCGCCGCGATGGCGGGGCTGCGCGAGGGCCCCAGGCTCGTCCAGCAGCTCCTGCCCGCAGGGGCCCCAGGACCCCCCAAACGTGTGCCAGGAGAGCCCAGGATCGACTCGACAAGTCGGATCGGCGATCGACATGAATCGGATCGGCGGAAATCGGCAGCCGAGTCGGGACAAAAAGTCGAATCGACAGAAATCGGCAGGCTTGTAGGCCTCCAATAGTGGATCGGAGCCCAAATTGGAATCCCAAGCCGAATCGAATCGCAATCATAATCCATCGAAATCGAATCGGATCGAATCGGGGGAATCGAAATGAGCCGTGTTTACGGAGGCAATTACTTGGATAATGAAGTCTCACTGGGAAAGATTAAGGAAAATTGAACACCAATGGGGGGGGCTGTTGCGCCGGATTGTGCCGAGGATTAGAAGGGACTGAGCCAAATTCATCGGGATTGCGCCGGATTAAGCGGGATTCAACCTGATTAAGCCGGATTTCGGATCAGGGAAAGGTCGGACTTTGACGTCCCAGGAAAGGTATCCGAACCCCCCCCCACATCGTTCGGCATGCACAAGAACCTGCGCACGTCCAACAGTGCACGCAGGCGTGCAAGCAGGCGAGACTGCAAATAAGCGAATGCACAAACGCGCAGGCCTGCGAGCGAATCATATCGGAATAATCAGGGAACGAACGCTCGCAAGCATGCAGGCGTGCAAACGTGCAAGCGTCGTAAGCTTGCTGTCGCAACACACTCCCCGAACAAGGCCCCGAGAGGACCCCAGGATCCCCCAAATGAGTCCCAAGAGGGCTCCAAGAGGCGATGTTGAGGGCTCTGTCCTCGTCCTCGTCCTCCTTCTTCTCGTTCTGCTCGAGGGGTAGCGATGAGGAGCCACGATAGGGGGAATAGGCATGGGGTGGGATGCATCGACCTCCAATGGCCGATGCATCGCCCATGCATCGACGATACATCGTCGATTCAGACCGCCCCATGCATCGTCGAGACATCGCTATGATATCGACGATGCATCGTCGATGTACCAACCATTCCAGGTCGGTGCATCTCCCCTCTGCCTTTTTCCCTCCCGTTGCCCCCGAAGCGTCCCCAGACCCCCATCCAATCGAGGGCCTCTGACATGTGCACAACGGTTTGTGCATGAATTCCACAATGCGGTGTCTGCGCGAATTCAAACAGCGGTTTCTGTGCGAACCCGGGTCAACAACTGATTTCTTGAATTCATCCTATAACTGTTTGTTGAATTCGCTCGAAACCTGCGTTTGTGAAGTCATCACAGAAAAGCGTACAAGACATGTCTGGCACAGGTGCGAAAAACAGGCCTGGAAGCCCGCGGCGCGTCCGCGGCAGGCCCCGACGACCAGAAGCACCATGCCTGAACATCACGCCAAGAAAACACTAAGCGTTCGTTGTCATTCCCCACATCCTGAGTGGGGTTCTTGTTTTCCCAGAACACCCTCTCCTTCCCACCCACCTCCCGCTCCGTCTTCCATACAGCACAATATTATTCCTACCACACACACCATACCATACCATAGTTCCTACCACACATACCATACCATACCATACCATACCATACCATACCATACCACACCATACGTACCATACCGTACCATACCATGCCATGGCGTACCATAGCATACCATACCATATCACACCAATGCCACACCGTACCATACCATACCATACCTCCAGTACCATACCATACCATATCATACCATACCGTACCATACCATACCTACCATACCATTCCATACCACTCCATACCGAAAACCATACTACTTACATGGTTTCGTGCCCCTCCCACCCCTCCAGGGAGGCCCCGCCTGAGCGAGGAGGTATCCGAAAACCATACTATTTACATGGTTTCGTGCCCCTCCCACCCCTCCAGGGAGGCCCCGCCTGAGCGAGGAGGGTATCGGAAACCATACTATTTACATGGTTTCGTGCCCCTCCCACCCTCCAGGGAGGCCCCGCCTGAGCGAGGAGGGTATCCGAAAACCATACTATTTACATGGTTTCGTGCCCCTCCCACCCCTCCAGGGAGGCCCCGCCTGAGCGAGGAGGGTATCGGAAAACCATACTATTTACATGGTTTCGTGCCCCTCCCACCCCTCCAGGGAGGCCCCGCCTGAGCGAGGAGGGTATCGGAAACCATACTATTTACATGGTTTCGTGCCCCTCCCACCCCTCCAGGGAGGCCCCGCCTGAGCGAGGAGGGTATCGGAAAACCATACTATTTACATGGTTTCGTGCCCCTCCCACCCCTCCAGGGAGGCCCCGCCTGAGCGAGGAGGGTATCGGAATACCATACTATTTACATGGTTTCGTGCCCCTCCCACCCCTCCAGGGAGGCCCCGCCTGAGCGAGGAGGGTATCGGAAACCATACTATTTACATGGTTTCGTGCCCCTCCCACCCCTCCAGGGAGGCCCCGCCTGAGCGAGGAGGGTATCGGAATACCATACTATTTACATGGTTTCGTGCCCCTCCCACCCCTCCAGGGAGGCCCCGCCTGAGCGAGGAGGGTATCGGAATACCATACTATTTACATGGTTTCGTGCCCCTCCCACCCCTCCAGGGAGGCCCCGCCTGAGCGAGGAGGGTATCGGAAACCATACTATTTACATGGTTTCGTGCCCCTCCCACCCCTCCAGGGAGGCCCCGCCTGAGCGAGGAGGGTATCGGAAAACCATACTATTTACATGGTTTCGTGCCCCTCCCACCCCTCCAGGGAGGCCCCGCCTGAGCAAGGAGGGTATCCGAAAACCATACTATTTACATGGTTTCGTGCCCCTCCCTCTTCGCCAGGTTTCGTAGCCCTCCCCCCTTCCAGCGGGGCCCCGCCAAAGCGAGGAGGGCATCAAGAAAATGGGTCCCACGAAACCGTTAATCTCTTTATGTGGGGAACTCCGTTAGCATAATTTTTATATTAAGAGATTGCTTACATGTCAGATGAGCCACGCCCTCGAGCACTGCCAGCAGCCACGGCGGAAGGTGCTGGCCAACTATCGGAGGCGGGCATCGGCATGCATGCATCTGTCGCTACCTTTGGACTCCTGATGCCTCAGCCAACAGGAAGTCTCGAGAGAGAGCCTCGTCTGTGAGTGAATTGCGAGGAAGTCTCAGGCCTGAACCCTCTCTCTGTGGGTTCCCGCACTTCATGTTGCCACTCCGAGGCGCCCATCGGCAAACCCATGTCGTCACTTTGGGGCTCCTGATGCCTGCCTGAACCAGGGGGGAGTCTCGAGCGGGAGCCCCGTCTGTGAGTGAGATGTGAGGAAGCCTCGAACGGGAATCTCGTCTTTGGGTGAGTTCCGGGGAGCCTAAAGCGGAAGCCACCGGAAAGCCTCAGATGGCAGCAGGAAGCCCCAGGAGGCACCAAGATACTTCATGGAGCCTCAAGAAACCGTAGGAGGCACCCGGAAGCTCCAAGGGGGCTCGTGAACCACCAGGAATCCCTAGAAGGCCTCAGGAGTTCCCGGAGACGCCCCAGGACGGCAATGGGAGGCAGCAGGACGCCCTGGGCTGAGGCACGAGGAGTCCCCAAGAGAGGGCATGAGGAGGACCAGTAAACCTCAGGCGCGTCAGCGATGTTGCAATAAATCCGCCCTCCACCACATTCCATCTCCACAAAACCTTACAAGAATGCGTGTTCATTGCGGGAAGTGTCCTATTGGAAGACAACCATCTGAGAATCTCCAGTGGTGCCAAGACGCCCTTCTTGGGACTGCAAGCCCGCGAACCAGCATGACTATTGCGCTCTGGTGGTCATCAATCGCGTCAGAAAAACATTTCTGGGACTCCAACGCCGCGAATCGACGTGAGAGTTGCGTCCTGGTAAACCCAAACCGTAGGAGACCACATTTCGTGGGACTTCAATCATTCGAAACAAGGAAAAACAACGAACCGTTAAGACGATCGTAAAGCGAGAACCACCTTTTGAGAAGGAACTGCCCTCCATCATTGAACCAGTGTCAAACTTTCGAATCGAAGGTGCACGGCGCTCCACACTTTGAAGACGGCCCGCCCTCCAACCTTGAATCTGCTGCAGGCTTTTAAACGAATGTGACCAGCGCTGGTGCAAGAAAAACATTTTGAAAACGGCCCGTGGTGCGTGTTTGCAACTGCTGCAAAATTGAAAGCGAGAGCGACATTTTGAAAAAGACCCGCACGCCGTCCATGAAGCTGTTCGTCAAGCCCCAAGATCAGAAATGGAGAAGACGTGGAGTCTCAAGCAAAACGCCTAGCCTGCCCTGCTGACACGCCTGGGGGTGCGACTGGGAGAAGTTATTTACACGGGATGTTAGCCAGCGCGGACTCCAAGCAATGTGTTTCTAGCCATACATGTTGCGCAATCTAGGTGGAGCAATCGATGTGGTGCAATATAAGTGTTGCAAACTAGGTTGTGCAATCTATGTTGTACAACATAGGATGTGCAGTCTATGTGGTGCAATATCTGTTGGGCAATAGATGTGGGGCTATCAAGCTCAATCGACCTGGTGCAATATATGTTGTGCAACGGGGCGACGGCGACGGGACGGGGCGGCGACGGCGACAACATAGCCGCCAGACCGCCTGGCAAGCCCACACGATGGGCGGCGATGAGGCTGTGACGGAGCGGCAACGGCGACAACACAACCGACAGAACGCTAGACAAGCCCAGATGACAGGCGGCGGCGGGGCGGCGGCGGGGCGGCGACGGCGACAACATAGATGCACAACAAGCCCTGAAAGAAACAATAATCCTAAATGCAAACAATGTTTGAAGAACAACGATGGGTGAGAAATAAGACGAATGGGAGGACGAGGAGGAGGAACCGTGAAAACCCAAAACACATTCCTCTAAATTCCATCTTCATAGGTCCCTACAAGAATTTGTTCTCATCGTGGGGATTGCCAAAATGGAAAACAAACGCCTGAGAATCCTCAATCGCGCCGGAACACCATTCCTGGGACTTGAGTGTTTCAACCGTGACTGCTGCGTCCCTTTAAGCCGAACCCTGACCAGGAAACCATTCCTGGGAAATCAGCCCCACTG